AAAAACAACTCATATCAGATGGGAAGCTAATTGTCCATCATCTCTTTATTTGTAACGCGGTTTTTTTACGAACCAAGTACTAAATTGGCACATTAAAATACGCGCAAAAATTCTACCCTGCTACATATTCAAACAACCGGACGTAATTCCATTATCCTGCGCATTTCCGTATGTGTTCCGTGATCGAATCGACAAATTCCTCTCGAGTGCTAAGGAAGTTGAGCTATTCAGACTAGATGTAGCACAATAAGAAGAGACTAATTGGGAACTGCCGAATGGCATATAATATGCACTTGAAAATGGTAAACACAAAATCGTGCTTCTTCCGTCTACCTCGTTTTTATTCTTTCATGTTCACCTTATCTGTGGATGGTTCGCCGATTGCCAAAATTACAGAGAGACGCTTGGATCGATGGGCGGAAGATTTTCATTCCCAGTTCAATTGACCCTCGCCGCCCACTTATCTCCCCCGCGAACCCAGCTGCCCCCCATGGGTCGTCACACTTGATCCACCCAGCAAAGCGGAAGTTTATCTTGTGATTCGACACCTAAGACGATTCAAGGCTGCTGACTCAGACGGACATCCTCCAGAGCTGTTCAAATATGGGGCTCTGTTATCAGTAGCCAGCTAACCATTGTTCTCCAAAATCTGGCATGAAGAAAAGCCGTCTTCTTCTTGGAGCCAGTCAGGTATTGTCCCGATATTTAAGAAGCGTGCTCGCACTTCGCGTAGCAATCACTGGGGGATTAGTCTCATTTTGGTTGCCTTCAACCTACTGGCATCCATTCTGCTCCGTAGACTATCTCGCATTCGCGAATCGCAGTACCGGGCAGAACAAGCTGTCTTCCGACCTGGCCGCGGGTGTGTGAATCAAATATTCACAATCCGTCAAATCCTGGAATACCGTCCCCTTTACCAGAGGCTTATCATTGTTGTATTCCTGTACATCTGTGCCGCATTCGACTCGGTTGATTGACCTGCACTATGACGTTGTTTACTAAGGAACGGTGTCCCAGAAAACTACACTGCCATCCTATGTGCACTGTATTTCCACATCTCTGGCAGAGTGAGGATGAAAGGCAAGCTTTCGCTGTCTTTCGCTGTCAATAGCGGTGTACAACATGGCTGTCCTATATCCCCGTCCCTCTGCAATTTTGCGATTGAAGAGATCCTGTCGAGACCTCTAGATGGTTGTCCAAATTTTGGCATACAGCTATTACCGGGTAAGCGAGCAACCGACTTGGATTATGCCGATGATATCGCCTTACTTAGTGAGGACTCACAGAGCATGCAAACCATTCTAGACTCTTTGGCGATTGAGGCATCTAGGTACTGAGTGTGCTTTGCCCCGTCAAAGTGTACTGTTTGCTACAGGATTGGCACTCAACTGTTCCCGTGCTTAATATTGAAGATACACAGCTTGAACAAGTGGATAGGTTTGTCTACCATGGCAGCTGTGTCTGCTGGTGGTACCATTAGAACGGAAGTTTCTCTGCGCATCGCCAAAGATCGATCGGCGTTTGTCAACCTACATCACTTGTGGTGTCATCGAGATATCTCCCACTTGTTAAAAGATCGTGTTCATAATGCCAACGTTCAGACGGTGTTGCTATATGGAAGCGACGCATGGACAGTTCGCGTAGACTATGTGCGCCGGCTCTCAGCCTTCAACAACGGGTGCTTGAGGAGGATTGCTCGTGTGCGGTGGTAACAACACATTTGCAACAGTGAAGTCAGACGTGTCTTCAGGAATGCGAGTATTCCCTTCAAAAATCTGGTTTTGCTGAGTCAGTTAAGATGGCTCGGTCATGTCTTGCGTATGTCAGCTGAGCGTCATACCCATCGCGTACTGTTTGATCGTGCAGGACTCAAGGGGAAGAGACCATGTGGTGGTCCACCATCCAACTGGTGACAGCAAATGAACGCGTTCACCTCTTGCCACCACTGGATTCACACGTCTTCCTGGTTGGGGACCAAAGGAGGAATAGTGCCGATGGCTGGAAACAATTCAGGATATGACACTTAATCGGAAAAACCGCAGGATTTGTGTACGTAACTGCTTAGATAGATAAGCATTGCTTACTTATTGATACTACTACTACTACTACTACTACTACTACTACTACTACTACTACTACTACTACTACGACTACGACTACGACTACGACTACGACTACGACTACGACTACTACTACTACTACTAGCGACGTTTTTCTATTTACTTTTAACGTCGTTAGCCTCACTATAATTTCTGTATAGATCTATTAAAAGTTGTCCTTTCCCCTTTTTCTGGTTACAAGTTCCATGCTCATCCCCTGACGAATTCCGAGTTGGAAAATGACGCTACGATCCTTGCTTTTTGTAGGAATTCACCCAAAGAAGCGTCGTCGGTATGTCTGGTCGGCCAGTTACAATCTGCTGGATTTTGTGAAGCAATTCTCCCCACCATAATCGGTCCACGTGGCCGGGACCGTATGGTGCCTTCTAACGACGCACATTGTTTATTTGTATTTCAATTTTGAGAACGAAACCATTTATCCTGTCTAAAAGAAAAGGCGTTAACTGAACTAGTTTGCCTCCAAATGTATACAAAATTAATGAACATCGCAAGACCGTTGTCATCCAACTAATATGTTAATTTGACCTTCAACTACTACCTACCAGCAAGTAGTGTAAAATGGAACATTTTCGAGTACCTCGTCTGACGCATCACCGCACAAGACCGACTATGTTCCCCTAGATTGTAGTGGGCGGTAATTACTCCCAAGGGGGTAAAATGGAATTTTACGGTGGGTAAATATAAGTACGAGGATTGGACCATCAATCAGTTGCCAAACAACATAATTAAAAAATCATTTGTATGAAAATATGTCACCAACTACTTAGTGAATGTTGATTAGCCATCAGTGACCAACCATTAGTGAGTGGTCAGTGAATTTTGGGTAAATTTTCTCACCGAATATACGAATACAAGCCTGCAGAGCAGCACAACTAAACGGCGCTTCTGTTGGCTCGCTCGTCGATCGTTGTTCTTTTGAGTCAATCAGCCCTTCGTAGAGTCGAACCACAGGGTTGAGTGAAAATTTACTTGCGAGCATAGGTCAGCCGAGCAGGCAATGAAGAGAGCGAATGATTATAAGATAAACGGGACAAAACAGGCGATTCGTGTTCAGGATGCATCGGTACAGAGTGATGGTGAAAAGGTGTGAACCAGGATGGATTTGGAATGTGTTTTTGAAACAAATGAGAAGTCACTGATATCAGTTTATGTTTGACTAGGGACCACATAGCAAAGCAAGGAATTGAATGAATTTGGAGCACGACTTACGATATGCACAAGCTGAAGGCGCACTGAAAATATCAGAAGTTTTTAGAACTAAGCAATATCAGCCATCTCATTAAGTTACATCGCCACATGATTTAATAAATATTTACTCAAAGCTAAGTGGTTTCTTTGATTTAATGAGAAGGAATAATTAAAAATAGTGTTCACTTTAAGTAATTTAATACAAAAATTCAATAGACAATAGACGAGTAGCTTATTAAGCTACATTTTGTTAGGTAAGTGTTTATAGTAAACCTGCTTTGTGGGGATCAGTCGCACAGATGTTGAGAACCACTGATGTGCAAAGTAAGACGGAGATAGCGCAGACAAAGTTAAGCCGTGTTTCTGAGAATCGAAGCTTCCAGTCTGGATGTCACCGCAGATAAATGCTCCACGCTTGATGGATACGCCCACAAGGAGTCTGGCTTTAGCAAGTTAGCATGTATAATGAGCACGCTGGGGAGAGTACAGTTGTCACTTCCTGCGAGAGGTCATCTGCACAACTGGGGACAGAGCCTGCGGTAGGAACATCGTGCAAAATCCTTCACTATTCCTAAAATCGCTTTAGCTCAGAGCGAGCCTGTAACCTTAAGGAGCGCCGGCCAATAGCCTTAAGGGTCACAAACGTGCGTTGTAGTCTGATGGCGCGGGCTGGAGACTGCATAGGGACCGGGCGACCCTTGCAGTAGTCTTAGCCCTTGTACGACCGGTGGTGGTTGCGTGGCAGTGCAGCATCTGCGCTGCATACCGGCGTGCTCCTGATGCCTTTCCTTATTCATTTGAGCTCAGAGCGTGGAATCGCTAGAATGAATGAATCTACAACATGAACGGTTATATGTAAGCTTTAAACAACTTCCTACGTTTTGTGACATAGTCACTAAGAGCTTTGTGAGACGTGAATAAACGGTCTCCTGGGACACGTGTAAAGGCTACCATCACAAATTAGTGGGAATGAAATCAGTTCGAAAAGTGGCCGAGACTTTACCGCATGTGTTTCGACGAAACTATACCCCAGAATGATCTGCAACGTGCGTTCCAGGGATGAGTTTGGAGCGAAGGAACTGGACATTTTAAATTAAGGTTTGTGGAGTACATTACGGCTGAGTCATGTTTACATTGTAGGGGGACCAGCTGTACCGGATACAAGAAATAACCAAACGTACTCATAGAACAATAACGGTAAGCATAAGATTGAGAAGCGTAGTGTGTGGAACGGTTGTAAAGTAACGGAAATCTCAGAGTAAATCTACAGATCTGAGGAATTTGTGGGTTTAACTATTGAGAGAACTGCAGTTTACGGCCTGGAACGGTGTATAAGCTCAAAATAGCGGACTCTCCAGCTGAGCAAGATGAATTTGAGTAAATACAAAGATATCCCAGCAAAAACGAAACCACTAGACAGGTAACCACAGAAAAGTATACGCGACACTACTGCAGTTGAGTCGGGTTCCGTGGTTGAATAAGACCATGTTGTTGCAAGAGCAATTTGGTCGTTGATGGTGGGGCGAGCGTTTCGCAATTCCCACCAGGCCGAACGAATCAACACCTGTCTGACCAACAATCACCCTTGGAGTGACCGTCTTTAATGAGAACCAAGCATTTTGTGAGGCGTTACTGTGACCTGAACAAAACAACATGAAAATTGATTACGAAAAACAGAGACACTGTTCTCACCCGGATAGTGTGTTGCTGAGTTTGCTTGTTTCAAAGGTCCGATGCGTAGAGCTGCAACCACCGCCTAGCGCTGAGTCACGTGAAGAGGACGAGTTTGGAGCGGATTCAGAGGCGGACGAGTCTGCCGTCAGAGACGAACTGGACAAAAGCGAGTCTGGACGCGTTGGCAAACCATGTGTGCCAATTGCCGCGGCACAGCGACTGTTCTCCAAACGCAGCAAATGTGACGGTGGTGTTGGTGGTTCATCGGTTTGTACATGTGCATCGCGTATAGCGCGACCTTGGAGTGGGCTGGTTGTGTATCGATAGACCATCTCTGCTGGCTCTGGTGCAGCCGGATGACCCGTAGTATAATGAACCGGATAGCAAGTACCGACCAGGCCACTTGTTGAAACATGGGGCCAACATTTGTCAGAAGCAGCAAAATCTGCGCGAGGTGAATTCATGTGAGCTGAAAGAGAAGCACACATAGAGAAACAGAAGCAAGCGTTCAATGAGAGCACAGGTCTGCAGCCGTTGCTTGTTCACAAAAGCTGTATAATTAACCGGAAGTTTCGCAACAGATTCCTGTGAGCACTGGGAATCCCTGCAAACACCGACTTCAAGTAGGGCGCAGTATGCGAGTGTGGTTGTCACAAGAACCATCAGCCGGTCGGAAACGAAACCGCCTTTGTCCAGGCCAGCGGCATCTAATTTACTTAGCGTCCTCAATCTGTGGCGGCTGGTATGACGAGCTGCCTCGTTTGCCGACCACGTTTGCACCTACACAATGGTGAATCCACCGATGGAACCAATCACAGTGGCGATCGATCGCCTGCAAACTCAAACCGGTGTGGGGTAGAAACATGCATAGCAGATGCAAGGAACGTAGTGATAATTAAAATCTCCGCTCATTTTGTTTTAGAAAAAACATCCGAATGAGTGGATGGCAAAACTAGTGTACTGGTTGAACGTATGTGTGAGTTCTCAACTTCATCTCGTCCAAGTACAATACGAAAAAAATTCATCGGGACAGGATTGTGAACGTAAAAATCGGCTCAGCACACAAAACACCGAAGGCAATCGCTGAAAATCTCGTGAGTGCGTCGGTGCCACATGGCAGGTGAACGAATCCCGAAGTCGCCTGACAAAACACACAAAGCACCCCGTTCTAGGTGAATGATGTTCGCACCGAAGAGATCACGTTGCATAGCGATTACGAGGACAGCAATGAAATGGTGTGTTTGTAAACTCACGCCGATTCATCAGATCTCGAAAACCTGAGCATGAAAAGTTATGGCCTTAGAATCCGCGAGACCCTACATGCGAGGAAGCAGATGATACTTACTAGGTTTCCGATTGATGTGCCCGTCAGCTGACATGGGATATCGCAGTGCCATACAGATTAGGAATAGACGAAACCAAGCGTGGAATACCAAGCAACGGTGATTACCAGTTCGGACACAGGAACAGACATGCCATTCGAACGGCTAGAGGGGCTTAAAGTGTTTAGTAACCAAATCGTTGGTGAAGCGGAAGGTGATGGACTACATCGCCAAGGAGCAAGTGCTCCACAACTCATGAGGTAGACGATGGCACATTGTTTGGTTTATCAATGCAATCGTCATTTGCTCTATGATACTCCGATTCACCGTGGCAAACAGTTCTCCTCAGCTAACAGCACTCTAGTACACATAGTCAAGGGTCGCGCCCGACGTGACTAGCCTACGACATGCAGTGAAAAGCTACGATGAAGTGCGTGTAGGACAGGTGAAGTTAGCCGAAACACTTGGGCCGTGACAGTCACTGTTCGCTAGAAATGAAGAATCACGCCCAGTGGGAAATCCACTAGGTCTGGGCACAGACACATGACAATACCAGGCGCACTGTACCGGAGTGGTTACGAAAAAAGGCAGGTTTGAAGCCATTTTAAACTTGACACGAAAAATTGCACTAGAAGTGAAATGTAAGAGCAAAGGAGTTTCTAAAGTTGTTGCTTCGCAGACTCCACTCGTTAGTGGGCTTTAAAGTGACCACAACTGTACAGAACGAATACTAGAGGTGCAACGGAATGTGGTTGTCCTGAGTGGTGCTGTGGTTATGTCTTGGCAGATACGCTGATCTGTTGCTAGGCCTTGTATCATAAATTCGCACCTTCACCCCCTTTTGAGGTATAACACTCGGATCAGCCAGTATTAATTTAGCAGAGCTGCTAGAATACCCACGCGATAGTTCGTTTGTTTCGACAGAACCAGAAAAGCAAGGCCCAGCATCAGGCGCTGCCTGGTGCTTCTAAACTGGCACTTAGATCATAGTGGTCAACCGTCCCCATCAGGTCACCGTTGCGTAGTTAGCACACTTTAATGAAGGCGACATACAATAGAGACGTGAGCTGCTGGCGTTGTGGGGAGCGCCAGTAGGCGATATATAAACCATCCTAACTCATCGGCTACCGCGGGTTTACATTGACAATAATTTTGGGGGGTACAATACTTGTATACGTAAAGATGATGGAGAAAACGGGCTTTTATAGTAAGAAGGTTAAATTACAGACGACGATTTGAATGATTGATCTACGGAAAGGAGTTTGAGGACACCAAACTACTAACTAATTGCGTCGAAAATGGCATTAAGGTTTCAGGGGTGAAAAGTATAAATTCTTCAGTCTACAGATGCCACAACCCCTGTAGAGGCCCAAATGGACTAGTATTGTTCGAAATTCTTCATCAAAGTAACACATTCTCACACACGGCCTTACTTTGCTCCAGTGGATACGGAAACTATTCCCAACGCTTAGTTGCTCTCAATCAATATGCATTTTGATCAACCTGCATGGGGACAGTAAGTAGGTGCAAGCACTTGGCTCACCGGTTTCATTGAAAGTCGTCAGTAAATGGTCTACAAATCCAAAACCGTCCATCAGAGCCCAACGATATAACAGAGTTACTTCAAGAGATTCAATCTGCATCACTGATCATACTGAGATGATACAACAGAGAGTCAACGTTTCAGCAAGTGAATCGGCTGATCACAGTACCCAGGAAAGGATGATCCTATTCCTGATGAGGAAATGAGTTAATACCTAGCAACAGGAAGGCAGAAGAGCAAGACTAGTGGGGACAAACTGGTACCAAGGCGTGTATGTAAGAAATAAGGTGAGAAGAGAACCAGAAAGAGACACACCGAGAAATTAGCGTTGGACGGGGAAAGGCACTAGACAAAATGACTGTGCTTTGAATTGCATGAGACAGCTCAACTAAGGAAGGTCTATAGCCACTGAGTTGTCCGACCTAATGAACCGTTTCCAGAACCAATAAGGCGAAGCAGACCAAGTAAGTGCTTCGGCTACTTTATCTTTGGCCGTTTGCGAAACCGAGTCCTTACCAGGCAGGGAGTTGTGTAAGCAGGCGATACACACACCGTTGACGGCAGTCAAAAAGCATACAACCAATGTGAGTAATCAAACCACAAATCGGTTCGGTACGACGCCAACAAGGCACATATTCGTAGCAAGACTTCGGTAATTCTACCAAAACTCAGCAATGCTGACCGCGTCGTTACTCTCTGGAAGTACATTGGTAAAAAGTACAGGTGAATTATTGTTGATGAACGGAAACGCAATGTCGAACGCCCTACCCGTTTACTCGACGGTTCATCGCCTCAGTGATTGACTAAAGAAGGCATGGAAACGCAAAATAATGAGTAGGCACCTGAGGTCATAAATCTGGGGACCGATTCACACCTTTTGACGTTGCTCTACTGGTCATGAGAACGGATGGCACTGAAACCGCCGAGGAAAATTGTAAAGTACACACCGGATCAAGCAATGCAACGCATCTATTCGTTTGCCTGCACTTTTAAAAAGAACTGAGTCTGGCCCAAACAAAAGCACTTAGGCAGTGCACTTTCCCTCGGTCATCTATGTGGTGGTATCTAACTAGCCAGTGGAAATGATCCTTGGTCGACCTGCTGCTTGATCGCGCCCAAAGCCGCAAATCAATGATACACCAAGTGGATAATTGATCTGGATTGGCGAGAACAGAACTCAAGCGGATTGAGCTAGAGTATCGACCGGATGAAATGCGGCAATTTGTGACTCATTATCATCATCACCATGCCGCCATACAAAAAATAAGATACAAGAAAGTTACATTACAAAAAATTCCAAAGCAGGTAGTATAAGGTTAAATGTTATATTATGCAATTCCTAGGAGGTCGGAATTGGAAGGGGAACCTAAAGGGTGGGGGATGGACAAAGAAACTCACAACACAAACGCCACTGGGGCCGGCTCTTCGTCATCTCAGCATATCCAACCAAACGTGTTCATCGTTCTTAGGACCCCAGCCAGGCAGTCGGGATGCACCAACCAACGCCAACTTCGAAGTGAGGATTTTCAATTCTCTCAACCAAGTTATCGCTTGGCCTCCTCTTCCAACCACACCCCCGGTGCGCAAACAATACACGTCGCGGAAGTCTGTGTGCTGGCATGCGCAACAAGTGGCCTAACCATCGAAGCCTGGTGTGTGAAATAATGGTGCTGAGCGGTTCACCAGCTCTTTCAGCACCAACTACGCGACGCCGAACACGCACACAGCTCATGCGGTGCGCCCAACAAACATGAGCTGAGCTCCGAAGCAGCGATGGGCGAAAGTGACTAGCCTCTTCACCTTCGTCGACGTGATGGGTCAAGTGTCAACCGTATAAGCGGGTTGAACGGACGACTGCATTATAAACTCTGCCTTTCAGGGCGTGAGTGATGTCACGTCTGCGCCACAGGTGACGGAGATTGGCAAAAGTACCGCGAGCTTTTGCTCAATTTGTGACTGGTTGTTCTCGACCCGAGGTCTAAAATGAGCTTGTGAGTTTTTAAAAATAAACTATTGGTCGAGATCAAGTCTTGGTTTTTGATTCACGGAGAGCTAACATTAATGGTGTCAAAGGTAGGATTCGAATCCACGACCGTATTCAGGGACCAGCGATTCGAGAGTAGAAGCAGCAGATAGAGTTGGTTATGATTGCTTGATCCGCAAAGTTGAAGAGAAAAACCTAAGGTGTTGCGCAATTGCCACAGCGCAACCGTTGGAGCAAACTCAAGTGAGATGAAAATCGGGTGTTATCCGTTGACAACACTCGGCGCCACGGCCGGTTTGGTATTTGTTGGCACTTGTCAGAGAAAATAAACGGGATTGCAACGGGAAAATCTCAGGGAGTATGAACTGCCAGCTGAAACCCTTAGTCCTAAGCCACCGGAAGAAAGATGCGCACCTAAACGCCTACCCGTCTCAGAGTCACGACGTGGGCTTTCAGGGGGAATAAAAAGGTTATGTTTAAAGACATTAATGGGGTTTCACGAGGCAGCACTTATCTAGATTCGATTCGATGAGGCTGAATATGCAACAAAGTCATAAGCCTTGATGGAACCACCTGAGGTTAATGGGCCTCGTGCCTCATAAACTCCAAACGAAACTAGG